AAACAACGGAAAACTTTTTTGAAAATGAGTTTTCCATTGTGAAATGATTTTCATGGAAAACCATTTTACATTGAAAATGATTTACACCCTACCAAACGGATTAATTGAATATTTTGGTAAACACAAAGTTTTATGTGGCTAGTCATACAGTGTGTTCGGTGTTAATCATTTAAGGGTTATTTGGTCAGGAGTAACAAGTTACTTGGTCAGGGAATACTCAATTGGTCAAAAAAAAAAAGAAAAAAAAAATGTTTTCACTTTTTTATTGTTAGTTTTCCAAACTAATTATGATTTTAATAATTTTGACCGTAATTTGATTTTTTAATTGACATATATCATACTATATTTTTGAAACCAAAATACGGAAAACCACATCGATATCAAACAAATATGTGGTTTTTTGATTTTTTGGCTATTTATTTTTGGAAATCAGTGATATAGGTCATTTAAAGATATTAGTCATACCTATTTGAATCATAATAATAAGTGTAAACAACTTTTTCTGAATTTTTGTTTTTGGTTTGAAAATTGAAAATATTAATCAATAACGAACAAATCCTAAATTTTAAATTGGTGAGTTGAATGGATTAAATAATAATGTATAACTACGTGTATATATATATAAATGGAGTATTTTGGAAAATTAAAGTTATTTTAAAAGATATTAAATTAGGGCAAATGCTAAGGCACGCCCTAGGGGTGTTGGATAAGATAACTAAAAAGAGAATAATTAACATCAAATAAAGATTTTAGAAACCTTGACCCACACTTCTGACTTTCTAAAAACCAGAAAGGAAAAACATATGAAAAATATAGGAATTAAGATTGTGAAAGGAGAAAGACATACTCCTATCGTTTTTTTTAATTGTTACACTTACAAAATACTGCTTTATTTAATTATTAAATTTCCAAAAATTGCATCTTAATACTATATCTCTTTTCTCTCATAGTCCCACCCAAATTTTCTAATACGTTTTTTGTTACTATATTTTTTTTATTTTCACATGTACATCCTTTGTCATTTTTTTTTTATTTACGAGGATAACGTAGGTAGATTTGCCAAAGTCATAAGACTTTGAGGAAACAATCCCAAACAAACAAACATATTACAACCTCCAGAGTCTCATCTTGACTAAGTGAGCTAGAGTGTTCCCCGTCCGTTTTACATGAGAAAAAGAGAGCATATTACTAGATGAAAACATAGAATAATTGTCATCTAACACCATGTGTAAGGGAGTGTAGCCCTTAGTCTTCTTCTGCAAACAACCGACTACTATGCTAGAGTTACTTTCAAGCTGGACATTCTGGAAACCCAAGCGCGCTGCGATGAGCTGCAAATCGAACCTACAGGCTGCTGCCTCCGCCTCTTCCACAGACCACCCTGCACACTCATTTCGTACTGCTGCCACTAAAATAGCCCCAACATTATCTCTAATAACCATTCCTAACTCCGTGACAGAACCCACATGAGCATCGTAATTGATCTTTACCATTCCTGCTAGAGGTCTACTCCATGAGTTTGCATATTGCATTTTCATATGTGGTGTTGCACTCTAAGCACTTTTGTTGCGTACTCACCATATTCTCGCACCATTTTGGACAACCCCATTAGTACAGACACGGGACACGGATTGGCCTGTTCATATATAATTTTGATCAATTTGATTTTTCACAGTTTTCAAAATGCGTCTTAAATGTACATCTCCATTTCTATCAATGTAAAAATTATAAAATATACAATGAGATGAAAAGAAAATATATGGTTTCAAAAAAAAAAAAAAAAAAAATATATACAATGAGATGAATCTAACAAAATCCCACTATATTATCACTTATAGATTAACGAGAATTTATGGTCAAATTTTTCAAAATTAGATTCAAATATTACTAATGGATCGGAGCCAAAAAAAAAAAAGAAGGGAGTATTAATTTTTGATAAGATAGATATTTAGAGAATATATTTTATATTATCTTGAGATTGCATTGTATTATCTTTTAGTATCTTCCCTAAGCTAGATATATTAGAATCCTACGTTGGATAGGTTTCTAAGTTATTGTATAAATATGATTGATGATGAATGAGAAGATTGACACTTGAGATTAATTTGACATGGTATCATGAGCCAAGCTGAGAATTCTAAATTTTTGGCCGTGAGAATCCACTAAAAAAATAAAAAAAAAATTCACAAATTAAGAAGAACGAAGATCATAAACTGATTGGAGATGGGTTACAAAACCCAAATTGATTTAACATACTGTCTTGGATCTAGTGATGGTCCGGGAAATATAATCACGCCTATACAATTGCGTGGTGAGAATTATGATGAATGGGCGCAAGCAATGCGACGTTCTTTAATGGCTAAACGAAAGTTTGGCTTTGTGGATGGTACAATTGTGATGCCGAAGACAGATGCGAAGAAGTTAGAGGATTGGATCGCGGTTCAGTTTGTTAGTTTCATGGATTACTAACACGCTTGACCCGAAAGTTTGTGCAACAATTGGTGACTATGACGATGCAAGTGTGTTATGGTTGAACCTTAAGAACCGGTTCTGTGTGGTGAGTGGCACACGAGTTTGTCAACTAAAGACAGCTCTTGGTGCGTGCCAGCAAGTCACTACGGAATCTGTAGCTAACTACTTTGGTCGGCTTTCGAAGATCTGGAAGGAGCTCTTGCTATAGGTACGGGTTCCTAAGTGTAGTTGTGGAAAGTGCGAGTGTAATATAGTTACACAGGTAGATAGTATTCGAGAGGAAGACTATTTGCACTGTTTTTTTATTGGCTTGGACACTCACTATGCAGCGATTCGGGCTCAACTCCTTGCGCAAACCCCTCTACCGAGTGTGGATGTTGCCTATCAAAACATAGCAATGGCAAAACGTCAGAATGATTGCGTGAAGGAGGTGTGAAGGTGGAGAACGCAATGATGGCTTTCAAAGTTGATTCGAAAAACAAGCAACGATATGAAGATAATAGTGATAAGTTTTGTAATCATTGTAATAGAGTGGGTCATGAAGAGAGTGGCTGTTTTCAGATTATCGGTTACCCCGAGTGGCGGGGGGAGCGAGGCTGTGGCGGTAGAGGAAGAGGACGATGTAGTGGAGGTCGTGGGTCACGTACCACTAGCAACAACACTGCGGCAGCAAACTCATCCCAACAACAATCCGTGAGAGCAAATAAGGTGGCTGGCTCACGCACCACAGTCACAATCGAAGGCCCCTACTTCCACTGATGATGCAGCAACTAGCTTGGTTGGCTTGAGTGCTATCCAAGTTCAATAGATTTTGGAGATTTTAAATCCGAAAATAGACAATTGCATGGTAAGACAAATATAATTCCCTGGATTGTGGATACGGGAGCATCGAATCACGTTACATGTGATTTTAAATTGCTCAAAAATGTGAAGAAAATACAAAATTGTCCCGTAGGCTTGTTAGACGGAAAGTCGGCTATTGCGGATCAATTAGGCACAGTGATATTGCCGGGAGGATTACAACTTGATAATGTGCTTTATGTACCTCAGTTGACTTGCAATTTAATTTCTGTCACTAATCTCACTGTATGTTGCAGGTTACTAATAAAATATGTGTTATACAGGACCCGTAGACGAGGAAGGTGATTGATGTGGGTGAACGCGAGGATGGACTGTATTTTTTCCGAGTTGTCGCTCAAGTGAAGGTTCTAGCGGTGGATGGAGATTCTTTGTTCGACTTATGGCATCAACGGATGGGGCACCCTTCAGAGTTGGTTTTGAGATTGATTCCAAATGTGAGTAAAATTCTAGAAGAAATAATAAAGTTTATGATGTTTATCCTCGAGCAAAACAATCTAGGTCTAGTTTTCCAATTAGTGTGAATAAAACAAGTCGTGTATTTGAACTTGTGCATATAGATTTGTGGGGTTCATATAGAACACCTTCTTCATGTGGTGCTCATTATTTTTTAACAATAGTTGATGATTTTTCTAGAGGTGTTTGGGTTTATTTGTTGCAAAATAAAACCAATGTTGAATTGATGTTTTTAAATTTTGTGGCTACGGTGAAACAACAATTTGATCATGATATTAAAATTGTTAGAAGTGAAAACGGCACGGAATTTAGTTCCTTGAGAGATTATTTTAATACTAATGGCAAATTTTTTGAAACATCGTGTGTGGGAACACCTTAACAAAATAGAAGGGTAGAGGAAAACATCAACATATTTTGAACGTAGCTTGGTTTTTGAGATTTCAAGGGAACTTGCCGATAAAATTTTGGGGTGAGTGTGTTTTAGCGGCGTGTTATTTAATTAATAGGACCCCAACCCCATTACTTAGAAACAAAACACCTTTTGACATATTATTCAATAAACCACCATCGTATAAGTATATTAGAGTGTTTGGTTGTCTATGTTAGGCTCATAACCAAAGGAGTAAGGGGGATAAATTTGCGAGTCATAGTAGAAGGTGTGTCTTTATGGGATATCCATTTGGGAAAAGGGTTGGAGAGTCTTTGATTTAGAAATGGAGGAATTTTTTGTGTCACGTGATGTGCGTTTTTTGAGAATATTTTCCCATTTAATGAAGAGTTGGTGAGGAAAAATCTAGGGATGCAGGTGAAGCCATACAGCCCCAGCAACACTCTGCCCAGCCCGCAGCTATTCTAGCAGGCGCTGGGGTGGGGGTTGTGTGCGAGGAGAACAAGGTGCTCAGCAGCAGCACGTTGATGGGGCTGAGGGGCGTGAAGATGAAGGGAATGTCGAGGACTTGGGGAGAGGAAAACGACCGAAAATTCCAAACATTAAATATCGTGATTCTGTGACTCACACAATACGGGAATACAGTCCCTCTTCAAGTACATCGACTCCAACATCACCTCCCTCAGGTACTCCTTATCCTCTCACATATTTTGTTGATTGCTCACGTTTTTTCGAGAAACATAAAAAGTATATTGTAGCTATAACAACAGGGAATGAGCCTTGATCTTTCAAAGAGGCAATGAAACATGCAAGTTGGCGAGATGCAATGGCTGCGGAGATAAGAGCTCTAGAAGAGCAGGGTACTTGGGTTCTTGAGAAACTTCCATCAGGGAAGAAGGCCTTGGGAAGCAAGTGGGTGTATATGGAGAAAGGTGATGAGCACGGGAACTTGTTGAGATTGAAAGCACGGTTAGTAATACTGGGAAATCATTAGGTTGAAGGGCTCGATTACTATGAGACAATTGCGCCGGTTGCAAAGATGGGTACAGTTTGAACTTTTCTGGCAGTAGCAGCAGTGAAGAATTGGGAGGTACATCAGATGGATGTGCACCATGCATTTTTACATGGAGACTTGGAGGAAGAAATTTACATGAAAATTCCTCCAGGTTTCAATAAAAATAACTCGATTATGTGTGCAGGATGAAAAAATCATTGTATGGTCTAAAACAGGCTCCCAGATGTTGGTTTGCAAATTTGACTGCAGCTTTGAAGAAATATGGATTTAAGAAATCCTACTCAGATTACTCTTTGTTCACATTGACCACAGTTATTTGCAGTTGAATGTGTTGATATATGTTGATGACTTGATTGTTGCAGGAAACAATGAAGTAGCCTTATCGAAATTTAAGGCATACTTGGGAAAATGTTTTAAGATGAAGGACTTGGGAGTATTAAAATACTTCCTAGGCCTTGAGGTTGCGAGAAGTAAGCAGGGAATTTACATTTGCCAACGGAAATATTCATTGGATATTATTTCTGAAACTGGATTATTGGGAGCTAAGCCTGCAGATTTCCCGATGGAACAAAATCATAAGTTAGCTCTTGCGGAAGGCAGAGTATTAGAGGATGTGGAAAAATATAGACGACTTGTTGGACGTCTAATTTACTTGGCTATAACTAGGCCAGATCTAGCATATCCTGTTCATATTTTATCTCAATTTATGCAGAATCCGAGAGAACAACATTGGGAGGCCGCGCTTCGAGTGGTGCGTTATTTGAAGAAGAATCCTATCCAGGACAAGGGATACTTCTTCGATCGGATAGTGAATTGCGACTTGAAGGTTGGTGTGACTCTGATTGGGCTACCTTTTACTAGAAGATCTTTGATAGGTTGGTTTATGTTACTTGGTTTTTCACCCGTGTCTTGGAAGACCAAGAAACAACAAACTGTTTGTAAATCATCTGCAGAGGCGGAATAGGTCGATGGCGGCCGTGACATGTGAACTAAAGTGGTTGAAACAACTACTAGGAGCATTAGGTGTGCAATATTCGCAAGGTATGAATTTATTCTGTGATAGTCAGTCAGCCCTGCACATTGCTAAAAATTCGGTATTCCATGAGAGAACGAAACATATTGAAATTGATTTGCATTTTGTGAGAGATCGATGCAATTACAGAGGGTTTAATTTTGCCTTCGTATGTTCCTACGAAGGAGCAGCTTGCGGACATTTTTACCAAAGCCTTAGGGAAGTCTTAGTTCGAGTCACTACTTGCCAAGTTGGGCATTCGGGATCTTCATGCTCCAACTTGAGGGGGATGATAAGATAGATATTTAGGGAATATGTTTTATATTATCTTCAGATTGCATTGTATTATCTTTTAGTATTTTCCCTAAGCTAGATATATTAGAATCCTACATTGGATAGGTTTCTAAGTTATTGTATAAATATTGATTGATGATGAATGAGAAGATTAACACTCGAGATTAATTTGACAGTTTTCAATAAATTATTATCTCCATTATCTTTCTTTTAGTCGTACTATTTTTCAATACTCTAACTACCCCACAATCCACTTACTTTTTGTTAGATTTAAGTCAATTAAATTACTTAAAATTATTATGAGGCGATCGAACTGTAACACTTTAAATAAATACAGGGTATGTTAATAAAAAACTAACACAAGATTTTCAAAATAGGGAGTGACAAGCTTAAGAAGTGTTGCACTTAATTTTATTTTTTTTAAGAGAGTTGCACTTGATATTAATATAAAATAAAAAATAAAATAAAAAACAAAATAAAAATTATATGGTAGCTGTTAGGGGTGTTCATATCCGGGTACCCGGATCTTCGGGTAGTTGATAAGTCGGCCCGTGTCCCGTCCCGGATTTTATTTATTTATTTTTTTCAAATAAGTTTGTACCTAAATCCACAAGCTAAACCAGCTGTAGTAGGTCAGTGACTTGCATATTTGAGAATGATTTATTGCAACACAGAAAGATCAATTTCAGAAAACCATCCAAAACTCAAATGTTATAGTCCTGTTTGAGTATGAGTCTACATTCTGAAAACTTAATAGGGATGATATTGAGCTTGGAACTAAGATGCCGGTATACTAGCAGAGGGCACAACAAGTGGTGGCTTACCATCTGCTAGGCTGATAGTTTACAACTTTACAAGGCCTGCACAATAGATAATTACTCTTGTTCCACAATATTAAAGGCTATTGATGATGCTGTCAAAGATGGTGTTGGCATAATATTAACACCTTTGGGCACGGATTTACTTTTATAAGTTGATTTCTTGCATGACCCGATGGCAATAGCAGCGTTTCATGCATGTCAAAGGGGAGCAATGGTGGTGTGCTTAGCTGGAAATAGCGGTCCAGAGACTCCAGACCCACATACTGCAATGAACATAGCACGGATTTTTTTAATGGGTATCCGGGTACCCGATATTAGCAAAGCTTGTCCCATATCCCGGCCCATGAAACTGCTATTTTAGCGGGACGGGTACCCGACCCGAAAAAACAGAAAACTTTGTCAATTTCCCATCGGGTTTTTTGCGGGTCATCGGGTAATCGGGACGGGACAACTGGGTCGGGTTTTTTTGAACACCCCTAGTAGCTGTGGAAAGATAGGTATATAGTGTTTTAACTTTTAAATTGTGGCAAACATGGTGCAAAGACTTGCAGGTCAAAAAGGACATGGAAATCAACTTTACAGTAATAATGGCTCGTAAAGTTGATTAATCACCAATCTTTGGCCCGTAAAGTAAAGCAAAAAAAAAGTTAATAATGATGTTGATGTTGGTCGTCGGAATTGTAGTATTAAGTACAGGCGCTCCAATTCTATAATCCATACAGCAATTGAACAAAGTGGCTACTTCCATTTGTTGAAATAAAACAATGGGTAATGAAATGAAAAGAACCCCATTAGTATCTCCATTTGTATGGTTGTTTTTATGCATTTGCAGTCTCCGTACACATATTGTTTCTGGGCAGTGTCATGATGATGAGAAGTCTCTACTTCTTGAATTCAAAAATAATCTCACATTCAATGGTAGTATTCATGATATAGATTGGGGGAAACTAGTAAATCTACAAGAAGTTTATTTCAGTGAAAATAGCTTGGAAGGCCCAATTCCAAAGTCATTCTTCCAATCTCAAGATTGAACATTTCGAGCAACAACCTGGTGGCATTGGAGCAAATTCCATCTCGAAACTTCTCAGCAGACCTTAGTAATATGCTATATCTAGACCTCCATTCCAACAATCTTCACGGAACATTTCCGTTTCTCCCAATTAATATAGTATATTTGGATTGTTCTAATAATCATTTCACTTCTATTCACCCACACATTGCCAAATCTTTTTCCTTTTTTACTGGCTTCCTGTCTTTTTCAAATAACAACCTATATGGGAGAATCCCTACGGCATTATGCAATGCCACATTTCTTCATCTTCTTAATCTAGAGTTCAATCATTTGAGTGCCTAAAAATGCTCCGTGTACTTACTTTGAGAGGAAACAGTCTAGGAGGTTCAATCCCTGATAAATTGGGAGATCTGGAGTGCGACTTAGAAACACTAGTCTTGAATGGAAATTTTCTTCAAGGACGTATTCCTCGATCCCTTGCAAATTGTAAAATTTTAAAGGTGTTAGATCTTGGGAATAATCAATTCAAAGACACCTTTCCATGCCACTTGAAAAGCCAGGCCGAATTACAAGTCCTCATTCTTAGATCCAACAAATTTTTGGCTTGCCCACAGAGTCACTCAATTTGGCCAATGCTTCAAATTGTGGACCTTGCTTCTAATCATTTTTCCGGTGAACTAAGTGCCCAATTTCTTTTCAATTGGACATTAATGATGGTAGGAACAAGTAAAGAGGAATCAAAACCAAGCTATGTACAAAGCTATGCATATTTAGCTGGATACTATAAAAATTCAGTGACAGTCACATTCAAAGGTAATACATATGAGCTACAATATATCTTAACAATCTTTAGCAGCATTGACTTCTCCGATAATTCATTCCACGGGGAGCTACCAAAAGAGTTGGGAAATCTAAATGGTCTTGTAGTACTCAACCTCTCACACAACTCTTTCTCGGGCAAGATTCCTTTATCATTCGGTAATCTTAGCCAAATTCAATCTCTAGATCTTTCTTGCAACGCCTTAAGTGATAAAATACCTCCACAACTTGCAAACCTGAATTTTCTCGAGTATTTGGACTTATCTTTCAATAAGTTGTCGGGAAGGATCCCAACAAGCACTCAGCTTCAGTCATTCAATCTTCATACGAAGGCAACCAAGGATTGTATGGCCCACCATTAGCACCAATCCCTAAAATTGAAGTTAGTTCTGATTCGAGTTCACAAGATTCAGATTGGAGCTCAAAGAGCGCATTTGAGTGGATGTTAATGGGTGCTGAAGTTGGGTTTCCTGTTGGGATCGCCGTCTTTTTAGGGCCTCTTCTTTATATCAAGAGATATAGAGAATGGTATTGCAACTATCTTCATATACTGGTGATGAAAATTTTGCGTAAGGAAGGTCATCATGCAAGGGCAAGGAGGAGGGTAAGGCAACACAACAGGCAACAAAGGCGTAGACGTTAAAGTTTAGTACAATTTAAAAATAATGTGTGGTTTTGCAAGTGCTAAGTATTTTTGTGATTTGCGTTTAGTACAATTTAATTAAGAGCTTTTTAATCTTTGTGTGCGGTAGAAACAATAATAGCCTAGTTATGTTTTATCTCTACTTTTGTTTGAGTAATGAATGATGTTATATCAAATTTTAGTCGTCTTTGAGTTTTTCAATTATCTCTCATAAAATTAGGAAATATAATAGTGGTGGTGAAAACAAAGATAAATTTACAGGTGTAGACACCTGATTGTGTCTCCCCAAAAACCAAACCCAGTGATGATTACCTTTCACGTCTTTGATTAACGAGTTAGGTGAAGAGTTGAAAAGTCTCATGAATTTTCTTTAACCTTGACCATTTCTAACCTTTCCTTAAATGTTTTAATCCAAAATCATTTATTTCGTGTCCTTAAATCCAAAATCATTCATTTCGTGTCTTTGAAAATCATTTATTTCGTGTCCCCTGTATAAAAACGTGCAAACCAGTTTATTTTGGCCCATTATCCTGGTCCAATAATTGTGTATTTGGATTGATTTGAAAAGAGCTTTCCAACGATACATTATAAGCCCAAATCCGAGTTATAACGAAGAAGTTATGGCCAAAATACTAAACCGAGCCCAAATCGAGCCTTACCTACGACCAAATGATCATGTGGAGGGTCCATTAACCTTAATCCTATTCCTAAACCAATTAGGATTTATTATGAGCTTCTAGAATCCTCTAGAAGGATCTAATTTATCCTATTTTTGAAAAGATAAAGACTTAAGAATTTTACATCGGGTAAAACACTTGTTTTTCAATGATTTTAATTCTGATAACACTACTAGAAATAGGCCAATTTCCGACGGACCCGTTCCGACGGACATGTTTTTCCGTCGTAAATTCTGACGGATTTTTATTCCGTCGGAAATTTACGACGGATTTCCTACGGAATAAAAAATCCATTGGAATTTATGGGCTTTCCGACGGAATATTCCGTCGGAAACTTAATGTTTCGACGGAAATAAAATCCGTTGGAAATTTTCGACGGAATATTCCGTCGGAAAATAATTAAATAATAAAAAAAATATACAAACCTAAAACCACGGTCATACATACCCTCCCTCTTTTCATTTCTCATTTCTCTCTCCTCTCTCTTCGCCTCTCTTTCTCCTCTCCTTCTCTCGTTTCTCTGTCCTCTCCTCTCCTCTTTCCCTCTTCTCTCCTTTTTCCTCTTCTCTTTCTTCTTCCATCTTCTTTCCCTTCTCCTTTATTGTCTCAACAACAACAATGGCTACCCACCCACCGTCATTAATGGCTAACCACCAACAACAACGACGCAACATCGAACAATGGCGCAACAATAATAAACCGACAACCATCGACAACCACCGTTCTAGCAAATCTAAGTTTCGTTCGTTCGTTTGTAGTTATTACAATTTGTAATCTTGTTTTTTATTTTTTTTTGTCAATTTGAATAGATCTGGTATTTGTTTTTTTGTTTCGATTTATATTTGTTTCAATTATAATAAAAATCAAATCTGTATGACTGTATTTGGTTTCAATTTTGTATAGATCTGTTATTTTTTTCAATATTTTTCGTTTTTTTGTGTTTTTTTCGTTACGGTGGGTGGTCTGGGTTGGGTGGGGTGGGCTGGTGGGGTGGGTGGGCTGATGGGGTGGGTGATCTGGGTTGGTGGGGTGGGTGGTCTGGGTCTGGTGGGTAGGGTAGGTTGGGGCGGTGGGGTGGGCTGGTGGGGTGGGTGGGCTGATGGGGTGGGTGATCTGGGCTGGTGGGGTGGGTGGAATGGTGGTTACGATGGGTGGTCTGGGTCTGGTGGGTGGGGTAGGTTGGGGCGGTGGGGCGTCTGGTTTGTTCTGGGTTGGGTTGGAGTAGTGGTTGGGGGGTCTGGTCTGGGGTGGTTACGGTGGGTGGTCTGGGTGGGGGGGGGGGTTCTGGGTGTGGTTAGGTGGGTTAAGGGGGGTGGGTTAAGGTGGTGGGATAAGGTGTTGGTTTACGGTGGTGGTGGTCTGGGTCTGGTCTGGGGTGGTTACGGTGGGTGGTCTGGGTGGGGGGGTTCTGGATGTGGTTAGGTGGGTTAAGGGGGGTGGGATAAGGTTGTGGTTTACGGTGGTGGTGGTCTGGGTGGGGAGGGGGGTCTGGGTGTGGGTGGTGGTGCCGGAGGTGGCAGGGTTTTTTTTTTCTCTAGCAGATTCCGACGGAAATTCCGTCGGAAGTTTCCGGCGGATTTGAATTCTGTTGGAGTTTTCCGACGGACTTTCCGATGCGGAAAACCTCTTCCGATGAGAAAATTCCGTCGGAAAACACTGTTCCGACGGAATTGGCCATTTTACCTACAAAGGGTGTTCCGACAACCAGTTCCGACGGAATTTCCGTCGAAATAGTGTTTTCCGACGGAATTAAGGGTGTTTCCGACAAAATTTTTCCGTCGGAAATGACCTGTTTTCTAGTAGTGTAAAATTATAATACATACGGATGTTCAATTATAGGGGTGAAACTAATTTGGTTTAAAACCAAACCGAACTGAAAACCGAACCGAATTAGGAATATGGTTCGGTTTTTTTCTTAAGTGGTTTGGTTTCGGTTTGTAAAATCAAGAAACCGAAATTATATGGTTTGGTTTCGGTTTCGAAAAGTGAATAACCGAAAAACCGAAAACCAAACCGAAATATTGGCCCATTAAATAAGCCCATACCTATCATATATAAGTATAAAAAACCCTAAAATTCTTTCTTCTTTCCTCTTCACTTCTTCAGTGTTCACGCCTCTTTCAGTTCCCCTCTTTCTCTCTCCTTCATTTCCCCTCTTTCACGCCATTTTCTTTGGTTCTTTCTCCTTCATCTCTCCTCAATTCCTCATCTTTTCCTTTTAACTTCTTTTTTTAGTTTTTTAAAGATCGATTTTGTTGTATTACTTCTATATTTTGCCTATTTTTCACTCAAATCTTCACCAAACTACTTCAAATCTTTTGCAAAGTTTCTGATTTTTGCATCTCTACAAAAATCCATGAAGGTTTTTAAGTATTTATGTTGATTATTGCCAAAAATTGATGATTTTTTGCGCGAAGAACCCTAAAAAACGAATTGGGTTTTTTTTAATTTAGATGCTTTTTGTTGAAATTCTTGATATGATGTTTCTTGTTTATGAATTTATATTGGTTTGTAAGCAATTTGAGACCAAGTTTGTTAATTTGGTGAGTTGTATATTTTAGTGTTGTAATCAATATAATTTTTTAATTATTATAGTCGTGTTGGTGTACTACTTTTTTTACTATTTTTTTTGTAGATCTATTCATTATAAATTTGATTGTCTATTTTAATTTATAATTTTTCAACAATCTGAAAAAAAAACCCTATGTAATTCGGTTTTCGGTATGGAACCGAATTAGGTTTTAAAATTTCGATTCGGAAGCCCACAAAAATTAAAGATTAAAGCCCAAATAAACAAGCTCTAAAAATTTCGGTTTGGTTCGGTTTTTTTTTTTGGAAACCGAAATTTATATGGTTTGGTTTCAAAAGTAAAGTGGTGCAGTGTGGTTTCTAAAATCCTGAAACCGAATTAGAGTGGTTCGGTTTCGGTTTGGCCTGTAAACCAAACCGAAAACCGAACTTCTACCCCTATTCGATTAACCCAATTTGATTGGAAGTCGGATTCCATACGGATTCTATCTTCTAAAAATATCGCTGAGCAATAGAATTATTGCATCGCGATAGCACATGTTTGACTCCAAGTTGGATTCTGACTCTTTTCTGATCCTTCGACCCTTTTTTTTCTTTATAAATAGATGTCGTTTCACCCCATTTTCAATCATCAACAAGCTTGATCACAAACAATTAAACCTGAGCAACGTGCCGTGCCAAGCGTGCCCAGGTTTTCGTGCTGTGCCGTGCTGGCCACTTTCAAAGGCCAACCCACGGCCTGGCACGACCCTCGTGCCTGGCGGGCTCGTGCCGTGCCGGCCTTCGTGCTGGCCTGGCGGGCTAGGCAATTATCAATATTTTTTATTTATTTATTTTTTGTTAATGGTTAATAAGTTATAAAATTATAACTTATATTATAATGTTTATAACTTATAAATTAAAATTAAAATTATAACTTATAAGTTATAATTTTATAACCTATAATTTTTAAAATTATAATAATAACTTATAACTTTTATAAGTTATAAATTTATAAGTTTATAACTTATAAGTTATAAAATTATAATAATAACTTATAAGTTATAAAATAAATTAAGTTGAATATTTATGTTTTATTATTTTTTATATTCAATATTTATATTTATATATTTAGTTTATACTATTACTTTAAAATTTAATGTTTATGATTTATTAAATATTTTTGTGTATTATTAATTGGTATAATTTTCTTTTTGTTATATTAATTTACAAATTATAACAAAATGGGGAAAAAAGGCAAATTGGACTTTGGATGTGAATAATGCATACTTCATATTATTATTACTTGAGTTGATAAAATTGTACAATGATAACAATTAAAATAATCTTACAATGATGGTATTAAACAAAAATTGGATAATGATAATATTGATAAACGATAATGATTAAAATCGTACAATATCTAAAATTGTCTATTCTTCTTCTTCTTGTTGCTCATCTTCGTCTTCGACTTCGGCTTCGACTTCATCGGCTAGTTGGATAGATTGGGAACTAGCCGAACCCGAACGGTCAGAAGCGGAGGTTCCTTCATTGTTGTCGTTGTCCTCGTAAGAACGGTCTTGTGAGCGATTTTCCGCATCCAACCAATCTTTGAAACACACGCACATTTCTAGTGTTTCGGGTTTTAGACTTGTTATTCTATCATCCAGAACCCTTCCGGATGCACTGAAAGCTCGTTT